TTTGTGGTGGATTTAACTTCTTGGTATTTGTATGTGTGTGTGTGTGTAGTGTGGTGTGTAGCTATGTGTGTGTGGCCCTGTGGTGATGTCTGTTGTGTGGTATTGTTTTATATGTGGTTGACAGAGGTGTATGGCTGAGTGTGGTGAGTCGTGCTGAATGTGTGTGTTTAGTACGTCATAGTTGCCTCGTGCCATGAATGTGTGTGTGTGCGCCGAATGGATGGATGAATGCTGACATGGGGTGATGTGTGTGTGTGTGTTGGGGTGTGTGTGTGTTGTGTGTGTGTGATGGCGTGTCTGTCTGTCGTCTGTCCTGCTTCTCTTCGTGAATCGTCGTGTTGTTCGGCTTGTTTTGTTGTTTCCGTTCTCCGTTCCTCTTTGTTGTCGTCGTGCTGTCGTGCGTTTGTTCCGTGATTATCTCCATTTCTGTGCTGTGTCATGTTTGTTGTGTGTGTGTGTGTGTGTGTGTGTGTGCTTTGTGTGCTTTGTGTGTGCGTCCTCTTCTTCCCATTTTCTTTCCCTCTTCCCTGTCGTTTGGTCTGTGTGACATGTGATTTCTTGTGCATCTGCTGTCTCGTGTGTACGGTTGTAATGTGTTGCGTTAGAACCGAACCGAAATAGCTCTCTCCAAAAATATAAAAGAAAGGGGTCTGTGTGTGTGATGCAAGATTGTGTGGGTTGTGTGTTGAGTTGTGTGTGTGTTGTGTGTGTGCGAAACAGACAAAAGAGATGTGGGGAAGGCCTGTGTGTGAGTTTGTGCAGGCGTCCAGAATCCCCCCCCCCCCCCCCCGCCCGACCCTCTCGCCCGCGTGTGTGTGCTCGAGTGTGAGTGCTTGAGTGTGAGTGGTGTGTATGTGATTGAGCTGTGCTGTCCGCTGCTGAGTGTATGTGCGTGTGGCTGGTTGCAGAAGCGGCTGGTTGTCGTGTTGCTGCAGTGTCGTGTGATGAGTGCTCGGTGGTGTGGCGGCGGCCAATGTGCGGTCGTGGGGTGGGTGCTGTGTAGTCTATGTTGAGATCTTGAAGGGGCGCGGGAGGGCGGACGGCGGGAGGGCGGAGTGGCATGGGGGAGGGTGTGTGTGTGACATGTGAGAGGGGAGAGGCAGTGTGTGTGTGTGAAATGTGTGGTGTTGATTCGTGTTTTGTGTGTGTTGCTGAGTGGGTATGGAGTGTGATGTTTAGAGCAGCGGAAGAAAGGAGGAGGCTGTGTGGGGAGAGGAGGAGGAGGCTGTCGGACCGGGCCTCAGTGTGTGGGGCGGTCGCGGGCGAAGGGCGGGCGCTTTCTCCTAGTTGTAGTGTTGTCGCTGTGTGTGTATGCTGCAGGAGCATGGAGCGTGTGGATGTGCTCTCGCGATCTGAGTCGCCGTGTGTCGCCAGAGGCGGGCCGGTGTGTGCGACATGTATGTTGAGGTCGTTGCGAGAGGGGACGGTCGAATGTGAGCGACAGGCGCTCGCTAGCCTGTCCAGCTGGCAGTGGTGTAGTCGATGGAGCCCCCCAGACCAAGCATGGCCAAACAGTTAAGTGAGACGCAGAGCTGTGGTAGGAACCGACAGGCACTGGATGTGGATGTGTCCGTCGAATGGTGAGTGTGTCACTTTGTTTGGTTTGTGAATGCTGTGGCAATCAAATGTCTCTGCGTTGGCTGATGGTACTCCTGCTGTGTGCGTGCTCTGCAATGCTCCTGGCGGGAACTGGTACAAGTGCTCCGTGTGCCTGTCGCACATGCAATGTCTGTGTCTCAGTGCTGATGACTGGTGTAGTGATGATATAAAGCACTGTGGATGTACATGTGTGGTGTGCTGCGCACAGTGTGCGTCCATGTGAGCATAGCCCACGGCTAGTTACCATGTGTGTGTTGAATGTCTGATACGAACATGTTCGTGTTGTTGGCACACCGGACAACACCAACCACAGCCGCACGGGCAAATGCGAAAGGATGTTGAGTATTGTGATTGGTGTAACTCGCGGCCGTCTTCCACCTATAGACGCACGGCGCGCCTCGGGCCAGGATGTGCCTGCTGTGTAATGTGATGTGAGCGTGTGTATGTGTGTGCGGTTCGTGAAGTCAAGTAACAACGTGGCGTGTGTATGGTAGACGCGGCTGCAGGGTCGTGTGATGTGTGTGCGAGTAAACTGTAGCTCTGCGTGTGAGCGTCGTGCTGCAAGTGCTGTGGCTGTGTGTGTGTGGTGTGTGTGTAGTGTGTGTGTGGGTTGTGCTGTGATTTGTGTGTACGTGAAGGGCTGTGTGTACGAATGTGTGTGTTGTCTGCGTGTGGGTCGCGGTAGAAGTGTGAGAGAGGGCAGCGAGCGGGGCAGTGAGGAGACGGAGCGCAGCACGCAGACGAAAGAAGTAGTTGAGGTATGGAATGTGTGTGACGTGAATAGTAGAGTCAGAGTGAATGTGAGTTAGTGTGCTGTGATATGGGGGTTGTATGAGGTGTGTGTGGGCCTGTGGTGTGCTGTGTGGTGTGTGTGCTGGTCGTGTGATAGTGCTGTGTGTGTGTGTGTGTTGTGTAGGTGCTGTGCCTAGTGTGTGAGGGTGAGAGTAAATGTCAGTGTTACTGAGTGTGAGTGTACATGTGAGTGTCCATGTAAGAGGGTATGTGTGAGAGTGAATGTGTGCGTGTGAGTGTGAGTGTGAGCATAAGTGTGAGTGTGTGTGTTTATGTACGCATGTGAGTGTGCAAATCTATCTTCACACACTGTTTTTTTAAACATCTAACCCCAACCATCATCATTAAGTCATGACACTATACCCAGCATTAACGCACTTATCAGTGAAGTTGAGGTTTTCTGCAAAAGACTGAGGCTCAGTCTTGCCAAAATCCATCTGCCAAGAATGCCAACCTGGGGGGTTGCACAGGGTATGCAACACCCTTGCAGCCCAAGCTAATCCTTGGGGTATCTGCATGCTTGGGCACCCAGCCTCATTTTTGACATTCAAAGAGCAGGTATCATTTTGAGTAATAATTAACTATTTCTAAATCCTGCTTTTAATACTTTTCTGGAAATCTGGTTTCAGATCTATACATATCTGAAAATCAAACTGAATGAAGCATTGAAAAAAAAAATAATATATATATGAACAAAGAAGTTGCTTTTACTTTGTAAATATTTATACATACATTTACACATTGCCTAAGTACTATTCCATTTAGTCAGCATAATTAAAAATTAGCATTGTTACAAATAAAAAAAAAATTATTCTTATAATCAATATATTGTATAAAATATGTATCAATAAAAATACACAGATATCCTTAAATACATACATATCCATGCAGACTAATATATATATAATACTGTACATAAAAATCAGTCCATATCCACATAAAAAAGCAGTTTTGAGATCCTAACATATAAACGCTCCCTTACCTTCACTTAGAAACAATCAATAACATATATACAGTTAATAGATCTACCATATGGCCATACAAATCAACATTAACTGACAATCTTGCAGCTAAGAAACAACAGATGGGATAGACTACATTCAAAATTTGATAATCTAATTAATGTTCATAGACTTCACAACCTCGTATTCTAAAAGGTCTTTGGAAATTGAGCAACATTTAAAAAAATCTGTTCTTGCACAAATACATGAATCATGGTATAACCTGACAAACTAAATTTCAATCTCCATTCATAATAGCTGTACAGAGCATCTTTTCAAAGCATATAATACCTCAGATATATTTGCTTGTTTGTAAGTAAAAGAAAAACATGAAAGCTTTTCAAGGGAAGGAAATTGGGGGATTCAAAATTCTGAGTATAAAAACTTTCATTCATGTTCTTGGAAAAAGAACACTATATCTGAGACTCGACACTGCTCTACAGAGGAAACGAGAGCTGCAAAACACTACCAGAGACAAATTACTTTCGTTGCTCAAGCTGGGAGTTGTCTTGCTGCAACTTTGGGAACAGAGACTGAGTTCACAGAATCAAGCAGCTCTTACCAACAGCTCACACAGCAAACAGCAAATTGCCCTGATGACAGTGTGATAGCATGGAGTGTAATTAGCATGGAAGTGGGTCAACCTGATCCTCACTTCCTTCCATTGAATACAACAATCACTATATCCTGATGCGATGGGGGATTATATGTCAATCTTGTCACCATGATATTCAAAGCTGATCAAACTTCATGCTTGCTGGGAGTCCCTATAGCATGGAAGAACAGTCACCATACGGTTCAGCGACAAGAAATAAAGAGGCCATGTAACTCCTCAAAATATCATGTCATCTTTGGTCAGACTGATTTTGTAATCTGTTCCATCTTTTTTTTCCTTTTTTCTGTCTCTATTTCCTTGCCTCTCCTTTCTCATCATTATTTTTTTCTTAAGCCCTTCTGTATTTCTAGGTCCCCCACCTCCTTTTCATATTTTGGAATGGTCCCCCCACCTCCTTTTTATATTTTGGAATGGTCCCCCCACCTCCTTTTTATATTTTGGAAACAGTCTAACAATTGGCTGCCTGTCACAGCCATACACATAAGGTGTCCTATAAATATACATATGAAAATGGCATGGAAATCTTATAGAAATTGAAATAAAATAACAAATTCATACATATACATAGACAAGCAAATTCTAAGGCATTTCACTTCTATGACAGCTGTTGCAAAATTGATGCTAGTAAACAAGTTGTTTACCCTATGGAATATGTAACACAAATAAAAACTCTGACCTACCTTTCAAGATCATAATCATGACCATTTTGTGCAAGAAAAAAAACAAAAAAAAACAAAAAAAACTTTGGTGACTCAATTACAAGGCAGTTTAGGCTGTTTCTTGACAGGATATAAACAGTGGAAGTTTGTTAGTCTTTGCCAGAGCGCTTAAGAGTGTGCTGGCATAAGTGATTACATAATCACTTCTACAACTTTTTTTTTTTTTTTTTTTTTTTTTTTAAATTCTACAACTATTTTCAATCTGAAAAAAACTAGTGTAGAAAAAAATGTCTTAGAATTCATCAACGACTCAATCCATGTACTGTTAACGTTCTAACATTTTGTATCTAAAACTGAAAATTGATAAAAACTGAATCCAATAGTCAAGTATTACTTTTGAAATTTTTCTAAAAACAGATGCCCAATACCATAAAAATGAGCACACGTACATTTCTGGAGAATTTTAGAATGGTTTGGAATATCCATAATTCCTATTTATGAGAATGGTGATTTTCATTTTTTCTTAGAACTGTCCTTACTAAATATCTGCATCTAGATATGCATGTGTGTGTTTATGCAAAAAACTCAACATTCATATAATCCTTTAGCAAAATATACAAATGCACAAATAAAAAATTTTCCTATCACAGAATCGGTAGTGGTGCCTCTTCCTCTCGAAACTCCTCCCAATATAGATAAACAAAAACTAATGCGTAATCGTGTGCCAAGCTCGCATTTACAAACATTTGCTGCAACAAATATTACGCAGACATGTCAGCTGTACAGGACACCAAACATTTGCTACATATTTTCAAACTTTCCATTGTGGGATATATATTACCAACTCAGATAGAGGGAAAGAAGGGAAAATTATAATGAAAATAAAACACAAACTACTATGATAAAGAGACAACGGCAAGCAAGCGACACAGGGTCTCGTCACCTCGGCCAGAAGAAAAGAACTTCAACATTATAAGACTTACCGGAAACTGAAGCAGATCGCGTGGGAAGCCGCTGTCGTCGACTCCGGTGATCTCGAAGGAAGGAGGGTTGGGAAAGGGCCCCTTTCCAGGATAGCTCGTTGAACGTCGGAATTTGTTCATGACCATGGATTGCGTGTTGGGTAGGTTTGAGGTTTTTCTTGGCACTGACACATGCGACGACATGCTGCCCAGGTTGTGACCCAAGGGGCTGATGCCACCCATGCTTCCCATCCCTCCCCTTCCGCGGGCTGACCACGGCAGGGGGGGAACGCCTGATCCGTTCCCTGGCCCTCCTCCTGGCCCCCCTGCTGAGTTGCCCTGGGGGGAGGGGCCAGGGGACCAGGCACTGCCTTGTGAGCCTAGCCCCGACGACCACGATGAGGGGTATTTGTTGGGCAGGAATGGCCCCTGTGGACCAGGCGCAGAACCCAGTGACTGGGGTCGGGCCTGACCTGGGAAGTTGGGGGCTGGCTGCTGCATGTTCCTACGCTGCTGCGGATTTTGCGGTGCTGTTGGGCCCAGCCCCAGCTGAGGCCCGAGGCTGGTGCTGAAGAGGGGTGAAGGCCCACCCGCTCCCGGCCCCCCGGGGTTGCTGGGGCCCAGGCCATGGAATGCCAGAGAGCCATTGATGGTGGGCATGCCCGAATGCAGGAGGGCGTCGTCCACGGACGAGGGAGGCCACAGGGAGGCCACGGAGGAGGTGAGAGAGTTGGGCAGCGGCGTAGGCTCCACTAGGCCCCCACCTCCTCCGGGCCCCCCCACTACGCCTGACCCCGGACCCCCTCCGCCACTAACTGCAGCCGCAGCTGCTGCCGCTGCTGCGGCGGCTGCGGCTGCGGTCGGGACGCCCCCAGAGCCTGGAGGACCCAAGACCGAAGGGCCCGGGGTGGTGCCTGACCCTAGAGGACCTGGGCCTGTGCCGGGCGCGGCGCCCCCCACCCCCGGGACTGACGATTCCCCGTTCACACCTGCTTTGGGATCCTCATCGTTGGTGGTGTGTTGCTGGTGCTGTGGGTCCTCGGGGGCGTCGACCCCGCCCGTGGCCACCATCCCCTGCGGCTTGACGCCTCCTGCCTGCTCTGCGAGGCAGTCATCCTGCATGTTGCTTGCGGAGCCGCTGCTTCCGCCCCCGACGTCCGTGGCTGCACTCGAGTAGAAGGCGCTGGGAGGCGTCGTGTTGATCACGTACGTCTCCGTGCTGATGGAACTCACGGACGAGGCCTTGTTGTATTTAAAATCCCCCATGTATAAATTTCTGTTTTTCTGAACTGATATCTCGAGGTAATCCACTCATGGGGTTGGGCGTTCACAGGAGCTATCTCACATCTGCCTCTCAGTCTCGGCCCCACGGCACTCCTCGGCCGTTCCAACAATATCGGATGTGCGCAGATACGTGCAGACGATGCTGCTCACGATTTTACTTCCCTTTATTTCGCAGTGAATAATATTCCTCCTTTTCTCTTTTCTTATTTTCTATGTCTAAAAATAATCACAGGTCTTGATTTTCTCGTTTTACCATGAACATTTGCGACTTAAAGATTTTATAAAGAACGTGTTGTACGGTATCTCTCGCGAGACATTCGTGGGCTTAGCAGATTTATCGCTCTAATCTATCTATTTCCACTCATAGTCTCTCCCTTTCTCACACACAGAATTACAAAGTTTTCTCCGCGGCTCGATTGCAATATTCCAATTCGGCACAGGACTTCCCCTATTTGTCGAAAAAAACAGGAAAATCGATAGCCAGCCGGGTTGCGAGGCGATGCTCAGCTGTTTCTTCTTCCATCAGCTGACGAGCCACAACACCCCCACGTGGGGGGGTTCGGGGGGGTCAAGGCTGTGCTGGGGAG